CTCTCTTCATTTTATTTATTTTTATTCAAACTATTGATGGACATGTAGGAAGAATATTAAGTGTAGATAGAATTTATTGTTTGTCAATTTTGGGTTTAGTCATCTATCCTTAGACATCAATGCCTCATAGCCCAAGAGCCCGTCTACTTAAATGCCACAAAAATTGCAACTTATAGAATGCATGGAAGATGCTTTAATACCTCTCCCTAACTGAGTCGAGCCGCATTATTTATTTTAACATATTTCTTAAGATCAAAATGACTTTTTTCTGAATTTTTCCATGAAATAGTACTCAAGAAAAATGCCAAGTGATACCTTCAAATTCATGAAAAGGAAATAGGTAGGCCTTCATATTGATTTTTGACTGAAAAAGAACATGTGATAATTTTGCAAAAGCATCACTGGTGCTGAAAAATATTTCATATAATGGCTCAACGTTTGGATTTGAGCTTTAAGACAACAATAAAAAGAAATTTGACTGTCTTGACAATTATATATAAAAGAAATTATGTCCAACAAAAATTTGTCAAGAAAATGTTGAGGACAACAGAAATTAGTAAGATTTAACTAGAATTTCAGAACCGAAAACTTCAGTGAAAAATTGAGTTCAACATATTGCATTTCCCTATAATCATCCATGATATATCAAGCTTCCTCCCAAGTTTATGTTGGTTAATGAATTTTAATTATCACAATAAGAAATTAATTTTCCTTTAAAGATTAAAATAATGTAAATAATGATTTAATTGACATTGAAATCATTGGATTATAAAATCCTCACATACATAGAAAGAGGAGATGATAACCTTTTTTTGAAGGAGCTATTAATGGCTTAACCAATTGCTTCCTCCCTTAAATCTTCTTCCTTATTCTCTACTAGGTGTTATTCCTTTTTGGGGAATGAGAAAAGTGGCTAACCCTAATTCCTATTAAAAATATACTAATAAAGTGCATATTTATAATGACATATTAAAGTTTGAAAATTGCACAAATTTCTTTAGACTTTATTGTAGTAGACCAATCAAGTCACACACCTTTTATTTGAGCCAAGAGAGGGACCTAATTGGACTCACATGACCAAGCTCCAATAGATATTTTCAGTTGGGTTAACTCTTGATCAATTGAGATACATCTATTAATCCGACTTATTCTACCAAAAAATTGAGATTGCACTCTCTAGTCGAGTAATAGTTAAAGAAGCAAATTATGATCCAATAACAAAATCCTATGATTATCGTTCCACAAGTCAACCCTCATTTGACTGTCAATATGTTGAAACTAGCAAAATGACCATTTTGCCCTTCAACGTGTATTACCCTCTAAGTCACATTTTCATACGACAAATTCGTTGTGATCAAATCACAATGTAAAGTCCAATGATCTCATTGTTGACCTATTGAGTTCAGATTCAATTTGCCTAGGAAAATACATTAGAGTGACGATCGTCTCATCCCAATGATTAATGGATTCCAATATTGTAAGTATTGTTGGGAATCTACTTATACATGCACAGCGGAAAATTAAATTATTTCGATTCCCATCCAATAGATCTCATTGTGTTTGGTTAGAAATTGTGATAAGATTGTACCTTTTCCAGATCTGCAATCCTTTTGCTTTTCTTTTCGTTCCACAACTTTGATTCGCCACCACAGCTGTCCAATTGTCCAGCCTCCAACGGTGATCCACATAGAGAATATGATTGCAGCCTCTAGGGTTTTCTCTTGTGCTAGCAAGAATAATGAAAACCTTATTGGACCTCAAACCCTAGTTATGTATTTATATAAACCCAAATAGGCTCGGCCCGTTCCGGTCCAATAATTAATTAATCCAATTAATTAAACCCGGTCCGTGAATTAATTAATCCAATTAATTAATTCGAAAATATAAATAACAAATCCAATTAATTAATTTTTCAACGATTGTTAAATTAACCAATTGGCAATTTGCAATCTTCCAATTCTCTTTTGTGTGTGACCCATTAGGTTCCTGACCACGATGCCTAACGACGTGAAATATTATTTTGATATAATCAAAATTGATAAATTAAAACACCCTTTTAATTTATCGTCAATTCACATTCGCCGTCCCTGATTGACATCTAGCAATGTGTCGGGGCAATACATGTGACGGGAAATGTCACGTGGTATGACAAAACCAAATTCGTTCGTTTACCGTGAAACTATAATCCCTTCATCAATATGATCCGATCAATTACGAGATATGGAGTTGTGTCAATTTCGATCATCGATCATATCTTTCACTCCACTATTAAGTCAATATAAATCGAAAACTCTTTTTCGACTTATGAGTACACCTTGGCCAAGGATTTGATCATTAACTTAATTGGATGAAACGCAGATCATAATCTCCTACTATCTAAGAGTGACGAATCCTTTATTGATCAATCACAACCTTCATACGATTCTTGACGTACTCGAACGATGTCGTATTAGCGGCCCTTTTCAGAGCAACATCCAACACCGCCAAAGTATGACTGTCCTCATATAAGGTACCATGACGACCTCAAGTCAAAGGACCAATTTCACTACCGAACGTTAGAGATTAACCACCGACACTCAGATAGTTATCCATGTGGAATCTCTCGACGGGTCTCCAATGTTTTGTTCTATAACAAACATCCACGTGTTCATTTAAGTGTCACCATACTTTAACTTGTGAGATCAGCTACTTACTTCATAAGTAAGAAATGCCACACGTGATGGTCTATCCGTAATAACGATATCCGTATCTCGTTATTACTTACGACCACGGATGATTTAAGATTCAATCAGATGTAATTTGTATCTCACAATCACAACTCCTTGTGATTAACAAATTACAAATATTTGAATCTACGGACTCTATTATTTATTTAATTGTCTATTAATTAAATACTAGATCTGCCATTTAATTGCATTAATTATATATAAAAGTATTTATGTCCAAAGTTGATTGGACCTAGGGCATAATACTTACAAGTATATGATCTCTAATTGTTTCGACCCGATCCCCAAAGCACCAAGATCAATCTTCTATTTAAGAATTCACTCATTGGTACCTTAAAGAACTTGAACTAGCAATCAAAGGTACATTACTCACTTAGGATTTAGGTGACCTGTTTGATAATTAAGTAGATTCTCATTTCAAACGGTCACAAATGAGTCATCTATGCGGTCCCGTTCAATGTGCATCGAAACACATTATTGTACCTATTTCAAGATCTAGACAAATCTTAATAAGAACAATACAATCTTATCAACATAAAGCGTCCAACTTTTTAAATCGATTGTGAACGACATAATTTTAATCACATCACAAATTGTGTCTTACTGTACCCGATTCATCGAGTATGCAATTTGTGACATCCTATATTATCATGAAACCTTAGAAAATCATTTCAAATTATAATACGCAAATAAACGAACGTAAATTCATAATGTGATTTCATAGAACATTACTGGAAGAATGGGCATCAAACTATCAATCTCTCACTTGCCCTTCTTAGAGTATGTGTGACATATCAAGAATACACATCCCCTTAAGACGTCCATCAAAAGCCTTAGCTGGTAAGGTCTTAGTGAACGGATCCGCAAGATTAACTGTTGATGTAATCTTACTAACCGTCACGTCTCCTCGATGAATAATTTCTCTAACAAGGTGATATTTTCTCTCGATGTGCTTGCCACGCTGATGACTCCTCGGTTCTTTAGCATTGGCAACCGCCCCACTATTATCGCAATAAAGCGTTATGGGCCCCATTGCCAAAGGTACCACGTCAAGGTCCAAAAGAAACTTCTTGAACCATATAACTTCTTTACCACCTTCACAAGCCGCAACATATTCTGCCTCCATGGTAGAATCAGTAATACAAGATTGCTTGATACTCCTCCATACCACAGCTCCACCTCCCAGTGTAAATACTGATCCCGATGTAGACTTCCTAGAGTCACGAAAATCGGAATCAGCATATCCAATAGGATTTAGATCATGTCTTGAATAGACAAGCATGTAATCTCTCGTTCTCCGAAGATACTTGAGTATATGCTTTACCGCTACCCAATGTTTTGATCCTGGATTAGACTGATAACGACTAACAATACCCACAGCATAACAAATATCCGGTCTAGTGCAAAGCATAGTATACATGAGACTTCCCACAGCCGAAGCATAAGGAACATTTCTCATGTAATCTATCTCCGTTGCATTCTAGGGACAGTGCTCTTTAGATAGATGAATTTCATGTCTAAAAGGAAGTTGTCCTTTTTTGGAATTCTGCATTACGAATCTAGACAATATTTTGTCAATATATGAAGTTTGGGATAATGCAATCCTTTTGTTTTTCCTATCTAGCAAGATACGGATTCCCAAAACATAACTAGCTTCTTCCAAATCCTTCATATCAAACTACTGTAACAACCATTTCTTTACAGATGACAATATTCGTACATCATTTCCAATGAGTAGAATGTCATCTACATAAAGAATCAGAAAAACTACTTTCTTCCCTTATATTCGTTTGTACACACAAGGTTTATCCAGATCTTGCTCAAAATCATAGGTCTTGATAGTTTGATCAAATCTTACATTCTAAGATCTCGACGCTTGCTCCGCAACTTGCAAACTTTCCTTTCATGGCCTTCTTTCACGAACACTTCAGGTTGCATCATGTAAATGGTCTCCTCAAGATGTCCATTTAAAAATGCTGTCTTGACATCCATTTGCCAAACCTCATAATCATAATGAGCGGCAATGGATAAAAGGACTCGAATAGATTTAAGCATGGCAACCGATGAGAAGGTTTCTTCATAGTCGATGCCTTCTCTTTGGGTAAAACCCTTGGCCACTAGCCTTGCTTTGAAGGTTTCAACCTTCTCATCTATACCTTTTTTCCTTTTATAGACCCACTTGCATCCTATAGGCTTTACCCCATTAGGTGCATTTACAAGATCCCAAACCTTGTTGGAATACATAGATTCCATTTTTGAGTTCATGGCTAATTTTCATGATTCAAAGTCTACATCCTCCATTACTTCCTTAAACGAAGTGAGATCTTCTTCTTGCTCAGTAGAGATCACCTGATAGGATTCTCCATAGAGCAAGTACCTAGAAGGTGGTCTCACAACCCTCCCACTACGAGTAATAGTTGGAGGTGTCTGATTGTCCAATCTGACCAAAGGTCCTTCCTCTCTTCCCACTATTTGATCCTGTCCTTGGTTAGGAACAACATCCTCAATATCCCTATTTGTAGGGACATGTGCAAATACAACAATGGGTGCCTCATTTTCTACTACCTCTGGTTCTATTTGCCTATGAGGCCCTGTGGGCATCACTTGCTTCATCAGCAACTATTGGTTCAGTAGGAGGTTCCAAGTCATCACTATTAGATTTTATGCGAAAATCTGGAACTGAGTTGTTTGAACCATGTTCTAACATCTCTTCCAACAGAATCTTAGTAGTAGACTTGTGTTCTTCTATATACTTTCATCTAAGAAGGTTGCATTTGTGCTAACAAATACCTTCTCACCAAGAGGATTATAGAAGTAGTAACCTCTTGTTCCCTTTGGATATCCTACAAAGAAACAAACATTTGATCTTGATTCCATCTTATCCGTCTTTTCCTTTAGCACATGTACTGGACATCCCCAGGTGTCTTGAGAACAGACTTAGATGGTACCAAATTCAAGATACAAATGGTTGTTTGTAGTGCATATCCCCAAAAGGATATAGGCAATGAGGACTAACTCATCATTGATCTTACCATATCTAAAAGAGTTCGATTTCTTCTTTTTGAGACACCATTCTGTTGGAAAGTTCTTGGTACACTCAATTGGGATCATATCCCATTATCCGATAAATAGACCTTAAATTCTTGGGATAGATCCTTGCCACCTCGATCAGATCGAAGGGCCTTGATACTCTTACCTAACTGTTTCTCAACTTCCGTCCGAAACTCCATAAATTTCTCCAAAGCTTCGGATTTGTGAGACATAAGGTATATGTATCCGAATCTAGAGTAATCATCTGTGAAGGTGATGAAGTACTCATATCCTCCTCTAGCCCGAGTACTAATAGGTCTACAAACATTGGAATGCACTAATTCCAAAACCTCTTTAGCCCTTAGTCCCTTAGCCTTAAAGGGCCTCTTGGTCATCTTTCCTTCTATACAAGATTCACAAGTTAGTATAGATTTCACCTCTAACTCATTTAAAGGACCATCCTTTACTAATCTTTGAATCCTATTTAGATTGATATGACGCAATCTAAGATGACATAAGAGAGTTTCATTAGTACTAGACGACCTCTTTCTTTTCTTAGCAATAGTAGTGTTGTGTATAGAGCCAATCAAAGAACTTAAGACATAAAGACTATTAACCATATGACCCGAACATATAACAGAATTATTCAACTTAATAACCATCGTAGAACGAGTAAAAAGTATCAAATAACAAACATGATATAAAAGTGCAACAGAAACCAAGTTTCGTGTAAGTTCGGGAACATTATAACAGTCATCTAATATCAAATGCCTACGATTCTCAAAACATAAAGTAAAAGTGCCAATAGCTTTGGCAGATACCACTGCTCTTGTGCCAACCCTGAGAGTGTACTCCCCTTCACTGAGATGTTTGATTTCCTGAAATCCCTGCAAAGAATTGCAAACATGATTAGTGGCTCCAGAATCTACAATTCAGGTATTAGTATAATCAACCACTAAGCATGACTCAATGAAAAGGGTATTATTGCCTTTACCTTGCTTCCCATTTGCTAGGTAATCTGGGCAGTTCCTCTTCCAGTGACCATTTTGTCCACAAATAAAACACTTTCCCTTTGGTTTCCCATCGGCAGTAGTTTTTTTTCCCTTTAACTTGCTTTCTAGCTTTTTGTTTGGCCTCTTTCTCTTCTTTCCTCATTTGCCACCAGAAGGCTTAGGATAAGAGGGTTCGTCTGTAACAGTCAAAGCACTTCCACTTCTAACTTTTAGAACAGATTCAGCATTTTGTAGCTCTTTCATTAATTTCGTCAGAGACATGTCCATCTTGTGTAGATTATAATCAACTATAAATTGTGAGAACATCTCAGGAAGAGTCTCAAGAACCATGTCAATCTGCGTCTCGGAATCAATGCCAGCTCCGAAAACCTCTACAGTATTGAAGTGACCAATCATGGTTGACATATGGTCCCTTACAGATGCATCCGATTTCATGCGTGTGTTCATAATTGCCCTAATGGGGGCTTGCCTAGCTTGTCGGCTTTGATGTCCAAAGATCTCTTGAAGGCTTTCCATTATGTCAAAAGCAGTTTGCATATTCTGATGTTTCTGTTGTAATACATTTGACATGGATGCCAAAATGTAACAACAAGCCATCTTATCAGAATGATGCCACTTTTCATATGCAGCCTTTTGAGATTCCGTGGAGTCATCTTTAGGGGCTTCAGGACAAACTTCATCCAGCACAAATTTGTGTTTTTCAGCAGTAAGAACAATATTAAGATTCCTTTTTCAGTTAACGTAGTTTTCTCCCACAAGTTGATTTTTGTTAAGTATTACTGATAATAGATTAAGCGACATTTTCTGTAAAATTAACGATTCGCGTATTAATAAAATGAGCAATAATCTTTGTATGATGCATGTATATGAATATGCAAATATAGATCCAAAACTATATTTGTAATCAAAAAATCTTAAACCCTTACAACTTTTAACACGCCCTCTATAAGAGGTCAATGTAGTTGTTGGCAAGGTTCGGACCCTCCCACTCATTTTATTGAGCTAGGCATCTCATGCCACAAGAAAATGAGGATTGATTATTATTTGGCCTATGAATAATTTTGTTAAAATCATCTATAGGAAGTCCCCCAAAATATTCATATATAAGTGTAATAACCTCCGCCAATAATTTTAAAATATCCGAAATATATAAGATGCCGTCTATAGGATGATCATCCCATTATTTCATTTTTAAAGAAATTCTATAACTAGATCCTATTTCAGTTAATCTAAACTAACGTAGTTTTCCTATAGCGAGACCGATATAATTTGATACTAAACATATATACTTCAATAACAAATTGGATGACGGGGGAGTCCGTAGGTTTATACACGCCTATAAACCCTCTTCCACTTATTATTTTGCACTGTTAGATTTTCACTTAATTAGCCTGCCAAATATAAACAATTATAATGATACTAATTATAAAATATTTTTCAACCACCTCTAATTAATTTAGAGTGATAAAAAAATATTTAAATGTAAATGCATATGATTTTAGTGCACCAGGTGATATTTCATTTAATCTACATAATATGCGATAATAATTAAACATTCATCCATCCATAAAATGGTAAAAGCGATAGTTAAATGAATAATAATCACTAATGGCCCATCCTAAGAATTTAAATTACAATATGGATAAAAAGAATTACATTGGACCACATCCCGACCCAATTATTCAATTTTCTTTGTAGTCCACCTCATGTAACATGAAAATAGGATTAATTTAATTTTTAGACCCAAAACTTAAAACCAACAAGGCCATTATCCAACAACATTGGCCTAAGTATTAAAGAGAGGCCCAAAAAATCCAAATTACCCTAATTTTCAAACCCTAACAAGAAAATACACTTCCACCAAAAACACACACTACTTCGATGACCTAAAATGAGCCGCCACCGGCGCTGCCGTCGGAGCCGTCCCTCTGGCGGCCTGCTGCTGTCCACAGCAACAGCCAGCTGCTGTGAACACAGCAGCAAGTAGTAGTTTTTGGTAGTTTTGGTTTTATTTTTTGCATTTTTTTCCTTCTTTCTTCTCTATTGAAATTACAGCAACAAGTTTACATTTCTTCCTCAAAATACAAAAACGAAAATGAAGAAAAAAGTACAAAAAACTTAATGCCTTATGGCTTACAATATTTCTAGAGAATAACTATAATAAATGAATTACAATAGGAAGTAAAAAGAAATTATAGGACCAAAAGTGATTATGAGTGTATCAACAATAACTTTAAACATATTTAAAGCATAAACATGTCAAAATCAAATAACCTAACACCACCCAACTAAAATGCATATTACACTAGGATTTAAAAAATAATAATCCCACTCAAGGCATACAATAACATTGGCTCTGATACCATTTGTTGGTTAATGAATTTTAATCATCACAATAGGAAATTAATTTTCCTTTGAAGATTAAAATAATGTAAATAAGGATTTAATTGACCTTGAGATTATTAGATTATAAAATTCTCACATATATAGAAAGGGGAGATGATAACCTTTTTTTGAAGGAGCTATTAATGTCCTAGTCAATTGCTTCCTCCCTTAGATCTTCTCCCTTGTTCTCCACTAGGTGTTATTCCTTTTCTGGGAATGAGAAAAGTGACTAACCCTAATTCCTATTAAAAATATGTCAATAAAGTGCATATTTATAATGACCTATTAGGGTTTGAAAATTGCACAAATTTCCTTAGACTTTATTGTGGTAGGTCAATTAAGTCACACACCTTTTATTGGAGCCAAGAGAGGACCTAATTGAACTCACATGACCCAAGCTCCAATAGATGTTTTCAATTGGGTCAACTCTTGACCAATTGAGATACATCTATTAATCCCGACTTATTCTACCAAAAATCGAGATTGCACTTTCGAGTTGAGTGATAGTTATAGAAGCAAATTATGATCCAATAACAATATCCTCTGATTATCATTCCACAAGTCAACCCCCATTTGACCGTCAACGTGTTGAAACTGGAAAAATGATCGTTTTGCCCTTCAACATGTATTACCCTCTAAGTCCCATTTTCATACGGAAAATTCGTTGTGATCAAATCACAATGTAAAGTCCAACGATCTCATCGTCGACCTACTGAGTTCAGATTCAATTTGCCTAGGAAAATACCTTAGAGTGACGATCGTTTCATCTCAATGATTAATGGATTCCAATATTGTAAGTATATGATCTCTAATTGTTTTGGTCCGATTCCCAAAGCATCGAGATCAATCTTCTATTTAAGACTTCACTCATTGGTACCTTAAAGAACTTGAACTAGCAATCAAAGGTACATTACTCACTCAGAATTTAGGTGATCTGTTTGATAATCAAGAGGAGTCTCATTTCAAACGGTCACAAATGAGTCATCTACGTGGTCCCGTTCAATGTGCATCAAAACACATTATTGTTCCTATTTCAAGATCTAGAAAATCTTAATAAGAACAATACAATCTTATTAGCATAAAGCGTCCAACTTTAGAACCGATTGTGAACGACATAATTTTGATCACATCACAAATTGTGTTTTACTATACCTGTTCCATCAAGTATACAATTTGTGATTTCCTATATGATCATCAAACCTTAGACAATCATTTCAAATTATAACACGCAAATAAACGAACGTAAATTCATAATGTGATTTTACAGAACATTACTCGAAGAATGAGCATCAAACTAATAGTTTAGAAGCCATATTTGAAGCTGGTAAACCAAATGACAAGATGGACAACGTTTTTAATACCATTACTATTCAGAAAAGAGCTGTCCAACACTACAATATGTACCAAGAGTATTTGTAACAACTCCATACGCTCAGTCATCGAGTCTCCTCCTCCTCTGAGAATGCAATGAGTGCCCCCAATTCCAGCATTCACTTGGATTCTTCTGATGATCCTACTATACATGGTCCGACAAGTTTACAGACTACTATACATGATCCTACTATATGTGTTGGAAAAACACACTTGATATATTTTTACATATTAATTTTATTGGCTTACTTAATATAGACTGATTTTTAAATGTCAAGGATGATTACCAAAAACGTGAAAAAAAGGATGCAGTCCAAGCAAGTAGTCAGCTCTAACTGACTGGATGGTACGGGGTTTCAACATAATTTTGTGGCTGCGGATTTTAGGGTTTTAAAATATGACTCAATTTTCAGTTTCCATGTTGTAGCTCATATAGTATTATTTACTTACCATCTTAGATATTATTTGAATGTCAATTAAGTAGATTTAAGAAAATATTAAACTTTCATTGAGTTTATTAATTACAGTATCAAAGATATCTTTTGTGATATTGATATATTTTTACTGATTTTATTGTGTATAATTTTGGTTAAGATTTAATTTGAATCTTAACTATTGTTTTATATAAGTAAAGGATGAAATAAAAAGTGAATTAACTACTTTGAATAAGTTTTTCATCCTCGCTCTTACAAGCTCTGTCGAATTCAAAAAATCACACAAGACGTAATACTTCATTGATTAATTCAAAGTGAAGCTTTGAAAAACCTAATTTTATCTGGTGAACTCGTGGCTAGCAGTTATGCCTTCCAGCAGCAAGCATATATATCCACAATTATTCAGCCGCAAGCAATTCTATTGTTTACCAACTACTCCCTTTAAAAACTTAGCATAATTTGAAATTTGTAGAATGGAGTCAATGAAAGGAATGTTGATGTAAAGTTGTCTGAGGGTATCCAAAAACTTATTAAATTACTTTTCTAATTTATTTTCCTACAACCTTTAAAGTAATAGGATTGGATGTGCGTAGTTATTAATAGGAACGGTTCCCTTATCTTGTGGACTGTCTAACTATTTTTCTTGATCACCGTTGATCTTTAGACTAAACCACTTGTTCTTGTGGTAGGTGCCCCATTATCATCTGGCCCTTTCTTTTTCACCGTGATTTCTGGCAGTTGGACTTCGCTTCTCGTTGTGATGACCTAAACTTGTTCTTCTTTAAGCTGTGTTTGAAACCATTGAGGAAATGGAATAAACGGCACAAAAGCTCGAGCAAGTGTAGTAGGCTTGGTTGATGGTCCCTCAATAATTGCATGATTTACAGCTTCAATTGCTAATACTTGTTCTCTTGGGTTCTATTCTGTGTCACTTGGCAGGGTATCCTATATTCTATTGGCTAATCCAACTACAGTCTATCCTATTAGTTTCCAAATTTTTAATTGCAACCTACTGGTTTTGGATTGTAGCCTCCATCTTGGTGATGTACTTAGCTAGTAGATCCTCTAAAGATGATATGTTCTCATGTTGTTACTAAAATTCTTGTGAGTTACCCTGAATTTGATATCTCTATCCCTAATTATTAACTCATGAGAAGTTCGGATGCTTGCTCCAAACTAGTTTATAGGTGATGGAGTAAGGATTGTTTTGTTGTCTCTAAGAGTTTTATGCATAATTGGCCTCATCAGGCCGATAAACATGTGTGGAGACTAAATAACAGCTTGCAATTGTATGATTTACCCCACAACCCCTGCAGACTAGTGCTAGTTGGTACACCATGCTCACATTCTGAGTTAGTTTGTCCAACTTTTTTGTTAGCACTTTCAGTTGGCCTGCCATTGTGGTCGATGCATCTATGTTGTGAATTCCCGTTATTTTTCTTAGCACTTCTCTGTCTATAGGCTATATGGACTGATTTTCTACGACTCTCTCAAAAAGGTTTAAAGCATTGTCTAAGGGAATATTCAAGATTGACCCTCCTATTGAAGCATCGGCTATGTTGCGAAATTCAAGTCTCAAGTTTGAATAGAATATGTAGATCTTAGAGCCTTGAGAAATGTTCAGATTGGGGCATTTTTTTTTGAAGTAATCTTTGAATCTTTCACATGCTTCTGGATAGCTCTCGAGGTCTCGAGAGGCGGAAAGAATTTCAAAGCGGATTTCTACACTACGTCATTCCATGAAATGATTCTCCCAGGATTTAGTAAATTTAGCCATTCTCCTACGCCTTCCTTTAAAGTGTGAGAAAATAGGTGCAGTTGAAATGTGTCAAAAGATATGCCTTCGTAACTAATCATATCACAAAACATCAAAAAGGCCTGAACATGTTCATGAGAATATTCAGTTGATCTTCCAAAGAACCTGATGTCCTGATAATATGAAACAAATTGATGACATGTGATTTAATGTGGTAGTTGGCCTGCACAAAAGATGGATATATGATAGTCGGTTGTACATGAATTTGATTTATTGCCACTTTTCTTGTTTCTCTTTGTTCTCTTCTTTGTTTTCTAAAAGTTCTTTCAATTTCAAGATACAATTGTAGGAGCTCGATTTCTCCAGAATCTTGCATAAACCGTTCAAAACAAAAAAGAGAGATTATATGTGTAATTAATAGCCTAAAACAACGTAAAAAAATTCAGATTCTATAAAAACTAATAAACTCATTAAATACTTTATTCCCCAACAACGGCATAATGTAATTTGTTCTTGCGAAACCCGCAAGCATATGTAATTGTTGACAAGTAATAAATTTAGTGAGCTAAAAGTATTGTTCCATGGGGAATAAATTCAATTCAAGATTCCTAGTTTGGTATGGAATTCAAATCATGTAAAACAAAAGAGAATTTGATTTTGTGATTATTCTAAATTAATCTAAGAAAGTGGTAGAATTAAGGTTTTTATCGAATATGGATGATTGTATTGAATCTAGAATTTACCTATTGCTATCTATTTCAATTCTAGAATTATGATCTAGTTCTGTCCATGCGTTCTTGACAATCGATAAAGCTGTAATATACAATTTTCTTTTCCAAAACAAATTAAATCTATCCTAACTACGACTTGAATTTATTCCTAGCTCGAATTCGAATGGTTAGAATGACTAAAGTTTAAATTATCTATATAATTGCACATGTGATAAGTGTTATTCCTAACATCTATTGAAAATATGTTAATTTTGCCGCATTTTAAATTTATTGTTAGTCTTCGTCCGGCTTCTGGACGTCTTGTTGCTATTTAAACCCGTCCAAATTAGGTTACCAAAGGAGTTGCAATCATATAAGGAAACTGCAAAATTCGGGAAAAATTTATACCTATGCGACCACATAGGTTTAGGAAAAATGCCATTTTTCATCCCTGGAGGTTCACTCGCGGTCGCATAGGTTTTATACTATGCGACCGCAAAGTAGAGCTACTTTCTTGTTTGAGTCATTTTGGTCCTCAAGTTTCATTCCTTCACTCCTTGACCTCCTCTCTTGTTCCTAGTTGCTCCAATGTTCCCCTATAACTTCCAATTGGTGCTTGGCTTGATCAATTGCTTGATGTATTCATCGGGTCAACTTTCAAATAATTGCAATTTGGTCCCTGAATTTTCATTTTGCTCCAATTTGGTCCTTTTTCGGCTCTTTTCTCCTGAATTCCACCATTTCCATAGAATTTCCTACATTGCATGAATTTGACAAAGTTAAGTAACAATTCAATCATTTTACTTGTATTTAAGCCATGTTTGTGATGTAAATAAGTGTGCAAAAATACACTTATCATCTCCCAATACTACAACAAGCAGCTAATTGTCTAATTGATGGCCAAACAATTAATAGTGCGATGGGTATGCAACATTAATCAAGAAATACGAGAAATACTAAATTACTAGTATTGACTTAGAAATAAATAACAAATAAGATTCATCTTCATTCAATACAAAAACTAATCTAGACTAACATATTGATATATAAAATGCAAGAAAAATAACAGAAAATATCACTGGAATCATAAAATAATTTAAAAGATATTGATTTTCAAGTCCAAGTTTGAAATCTTCAAAATTTTGATGTAATTGAGCTTCAATTACTTACTAGTACTTGATCTCTTCTCTCAAAATTAATAAATTTGCCCATTGTTCTCGATAAGTTTGATGATACCGTGTAACCCTTGTTTTCTAATTATAAGAGCGAGAAAATATATCAAAATTGCGTCCAATTTGAGTCCCAAATGAATTTGAATCGTGAAAGAAAACTGCTAATTTGTCTGCGGAAAAGCCCAACCACGCGGATAGGTATGCCTACCGTGTACACGCAATTGAACCATATGGCTCTAGGTTCATGAAATTTGTGTCTCACAAGCATGTCATGAATGGCCCACGCGCGTGCCATTATATGTACAATTGTCCTTGAGCAACTTTCGGTATTTTGATTATAATTTTTTCTCTTGATGTCCGATTGAGGTTATTCAAAGTATGTAGAAAATCTAATTCAAAGAGCTATAATTCTACTGCATAAAAATTTTAAATTAGAACTTTTTCTATCCAAAAAAGTGGGTCCCAATTTGTGATTAAAAATTCGGAGCATAATTTTTTCGACTAGAAATTGATTTGTAAATATATTTCAACTCTATTTCACTCCTTTGACTTTCAAATTGCATCCAATTGATCATATATGATTTTAATTATCATTTTATGGTCCGAATCAACTATTAAATTTTAAACTTTGGTCCCCAAACTTTAGATTTCTTTTCCCCTTTTCATTTATTTCTTCTAATTCCTCCAATTTGTATCGAGTTCAACTTAATGAACATAATTATGTTATAACTCATTCAAATCACTAATAAATACTCAAATTTACTGTCATTTACAGTGGCTTTTTAAAAAACAAAAATCAGCCCAAAACTTATAACAAAGACCTGTCCAAAATTCTCCCAGTTGCTCAAAATAAGCCCTAGCTTGGAAGAGAGGACGTCAAAAATTCACTTCATCCCAATTTATACTTGCAGCAAAATCCAATACTAGATCCTACTTTCTTTTTGTAATTTGTCTTTCAGATAATGGATTGTTCCTCCGATTATGGCAGATACAAAAATACTTTTGGCTGATTTCAACTTCGACATGTGTGCGCAATTTAAGGGCAAACTTTTGGCTCATTATTTAGGCTTTTGTTTTTTCC